TAAACAACATAAACCATAAAACCCCACTAATTACCTCAAGTCCTCAATCCATAATGTTAACTTCAACCACACTTCTCTCCTTGCTTCATCCCCCCCATGTCCAACATGGTGATGATGGTGGTGGACTAGTGAAATGGTTTAGTAGAAGGGTAGGGATAAGCTAAGGGGTGGGGCAAGTAATTAGATTGATTAATTGTATCCTTTTACTAATTCTCTCCTCTTTCTTAATGTCTGTGCAAAAGTGTATGTTGCACATAACTGAAAATAGATGAAGTACATGGTTAATAAGAAGGCAACAAAAATGAGGAAGGAGACGATGAAATATTTGTTATCATAGATTTTCGTAAGTTTCAGCTTCCATAACAAATAGACGAGGGAGTTTAAAGGTTAACAGTTATTCACAAACAATTACATATTAGTGGCAATTTTGTAAATAATAACAAGTTGAAAGTACTACTGAGAGGTAAAAACGTACTACTAAATATTTTTAGTAGTACTTTTCATGCTCCTAGTAGTACTAAACACATGTTAGTAGTACTACTGAACAGTAACAATAGTACTATTGAGAGGTGAAAAAGTTTGTTATATAAAATTAATTGTGCATAACTGTTACGCATTACAACTTTCTCCCAATTGACCATCCAATATTCTAAATTTTTTTTTACTTGGTCCTCGTCTATTTATTTATTTATATTTTCCCAGTTTGGACCATAGTTAGAAAACCATGTTCACAACAAATTATATAAGGTGAATTCCTATTCAAACTTATTGATGATTTAGAGGTCATCTTTAGAAAAGTTGTTCACTTCTCACTATTAATGTTTCTACATTTAATTAGGGAAAAAATGGTAGAGAAGACGGGGTTTAACTTTAGAAATTATAAATGGTTGGTTATGCAAAGGGGTTTAACTGAAGATAAAATTTTTAAAAACAATATCGGAATTAGACGGAATCTAAGGCCACCATATTTCATTTATGTTAGAGATTGCACCCACCCTCCTAAATGGCGTTTTGAAATTATATGACTTAAAAGGTTGTGTTTCTAGATGCACTCGAATAGTAGGTGTTGTTGAAATCAATTTTGCTCTTTTTTTAAATCTAAAATTAATTTTATTGTACACTTTCTTCGTTTTCTGTTAATTACAATGTTTTCCTTTCTTGGAAAGTTGTTAAATGGTAACATTACTTTAGTTGGCCAATATTTCTTTATTTTTGTGGTCCTTCCTTTTTTTTTTTTTTTTTTTTATTTCTTAAAATTAATCTATATATATCTTTATCTTTTTCTTTTTCTTAAAAGGTGTACATCTTCATGTTACTATAAAGAGTGGAGACAATAAAATGAGTTGTTTAATATAAAGTAAAATATATGGATTTAGTTTATAATATTGATAGATGGGATATGTGATGGTGAAAAGTTAGTGGACCATGGCGGGTATGGTGTATATAATCTAATAATGGTAGTCCCCTTCATTTATGGTAAAGTATAAGTGATTTCGAAATAGCCAAAAGAGAGAAGGTGAGTCATTTATTTCGAAACTAAAGGATTACTTTCATTTCATAAACTCACATTATCCCTATTTGTTTGCTTTATTTGACTTTTTACGATCTCTGAATTAAATACAAAAACGTATATATATCCCCAAAATTCATTTAATTAGCTTTCATTTGATTCAATTAGACAATGAAAAACCCCATAGATTAGTGACAAATTGTAGTCAAAGGTTTTAAAAATTTGACTTAAAAAATTACAAAGGGGTAACTTTTAGGGCTAAAGGAAGTCCATATATATTTTTAATAGACATTACTAATATATCATAGACAATATATATGGTGTTGTAAGTCATTTTAGCTCCCATGTAGTATTTTATAATTTCTAGTGTGGGGGGTGGGGGGGGGGGGGGGGGGGGGGGGGGGGGGGGGGGGGGGGGGGGGGGGGGGGGGGGAGGGGATTATGTTGTATTTCAAGAGATAGGAGAAATGATCAAAATGCTCCGGGCCCGTACAAGCGTGTAACATGAAATGCACCAAAACCAAAACAAGCGACCCCGGAAAGAAAATAGAAAGAGTGATAAGGAAAAGGAGATATAAGGAATCATTATTCAATATATTAACGTTGCAACTATTTTATAAAGTAAAAAATTGCAGTTAAAAAGAAGGGAGGAAATATAATAATTCTATTATGTTACAATGTTTTCCCTTTCCCTTTTTCTTGTTCTTTTTCAAATCCATCATCCCCCTTATGTTATTTCACTTTTGTATTTATTCCCTACTTTGTATCTCAGCTCATTTGATATCCTCGACTTCTATCTAATTTTACTCTCTTCATTTTTCTATTTGTCTTGTTTAAAATTTTGAGATTCCAATTAATACAAATGAAGCTAATACATCTATGAATTTTTCATCTTTCATAACATGTTATGTGGATCTTGTTAGATTTGTATAGACCTTTTGTTTCCAAGTATGCACTTTTATATTTTTTGTATTACATAGTTTGAAATATTTTTTATAATATTGTGTTGGAAACTATGCAAAATAAAAACAGGACAAAAAAATTAAATAGAACCGTGTATAGGAGAAAATAAATCTCAATAATTTACCTATACATATATTCATATTAAGGCCTTTTTAACAAGTTTAACCGAAGGATTAAGAGTAGCGAAAAAAAAAAGATGGAGTTTAATGAAATGAGAAATTACAAGGTAGCATTCAATCAGTACGTGTAAGCAAATCTATATTGAAGTAAGAATGTCAATTTCTTACTATCACCGCATCTCTCAATCCTCAAATGTTGTCAGCTCCTTTTGTTTATTTTAACTCATAATAATTTCTAATAACTTTTTATCATTACTATGATTTGCAACTTTAATATTTCACGCATTAGATAAATTCTACTTTTATAAAAGATAATGCAGGAGTGCTTTTTTCCAGAGTGAATGAGAAAAAATTAAGAGAATATAGGCAAAGAATAAGGTGAAACTAAAGAAAAGACAAATAATAGGTAAATATTAATTTTTACTAAAATTTGACATAACGTATGGCTAGCTAACCAAAATCATCTTAATTATGATTCTAAAAGTAAATTAAAAAATGTTAAGGATTACATTTTCTAGAATGACTTAATAGAATGGAATAATTTGTGTAACGCATAGGGTTTTAAGTATGAGCTTAATGATAATATAGTATGTATAACTAAAATATTTAAAATACTGATCGACACATTATTTTTTTATGCAATTTTTTTAGAAATATATATTTAATGTTATGATGCAATATTTGAGCTACATATATCAAAACCATTACTAGAAATTACGAATTTGACATAAAATACTATCATTTTAGTGAATTTAATGATATATTTAATTGGGAGCGGTTCGTCGAAGTCCTCAAACCCGACATAATGGTAGTTGAAGATGTTCCACCCAAGTTTCAGAGAAGAAAATTCTTAGTCAAGGCCGCAGTTTCTTGGTCAAAGGTATGGAAATATCATTCTTTCATTTAAATATAAGCCTTTTGTATTTTAGGTGTTACACTTTCCGAGCCTATTTATTTATTTATTCAATTTTAATTTTTTTAATAATAAAAAATTAAACTCCATCTCCTCAAATTATTCATGGTACAACTGTACTTAATTATTTGCCCATTTTTTCCGTGTAATTGTAACTAAAAATGTAATTAGTTTACTATACACATACTACAATCAATTGTACAATAGAAATACCATATCTTTAAATGCAAATTAATACTTTTTTTTTTCTCCAAATACCTTGGAGTTCTTTAAAGATTCATCAAATATCCTCATTGTTTTTAAAATTCACCAAATTAAATACCCTTCATCTTTTCAAAAATACCTCAAAATACCCTTAATAACTAACGACCGTTAGCTCCATTAGTTGTTAAGGTTAATTATGACACATTTGTTGATATGGTTGATTCATTTTTAAAATTTTATTAATTTAATAAATTTAATTTATTATTAATTAAAAGAACATTTTGATTTTTTTAATTACCGGCCATTGAACCCCCTTCCCCCTGCCGGCCACCACTGACCACCCCCCCCACTACCGACCCCTTTCTTTCTCTCCCCTCCCACCGCTAGCCATCCCCTAGCCCTAATCTCACCCTCTCTTTCTCGCATTACTGACTAGCTCTTCGATCAAATACCACACGAAACTTTCTAATACACCAAATACCACTGAGTTTTTGGTAAATGTCACAACATGCCCTTAATGACTAACAGACGTTAACACTGTTAGTCATTAAAGCTAATAATGCCACGTGACAGCTTGTGATTGGTTCCTTTCTAAATTATTTAATTAATTATCAAATAAAAAAAGTAAAAACCAAAAAATAGTAAAAAAAATAACAAAAAATAATTAAAAAAAACAAACAAAACCTACTGCCACCAGCCCACCACCAGCCAGCCCATTCCGGCTACCCAACAACCATCGTCAATTCTCCACAATCACCCTTATCTCCGCCGCTCTCTCTCTCCTCTCTTCATCATCAACGAACTCTCTTCTCTACTTTTTCCTCTCCATTTGAAGGATTCTGATGCAATTGAGAATCGTTATTATGATTTAATGCTTGTTCCGATTGCAATTTGTGTGTTTTCTACTATGATTGAATTGGTTTCCCCAAATTCTGAATCCCTAAATTTGGTCGTGGGTTAGGGTTAATCTTGAAGGGGACTTGGTTTGTGCAAATGGGGTTTTCGTTATTTTCGGATTTGATTACGAATTGGTTTCCCCAAATTCTGGAATCCCTAAATGGGGTTTTCGTTTTTTACGGACTTGGTTTGTGCAAATGGAGTGTATTCATGTTTTGTAAGAAGGTTTATTTTTTGCTGAGGGTAATTACTCGACTTACTGGCTTCAATGGATTCTTCCGCTATGGATTTAGACGACGAACTTGAAGATCATCACCAGCAGCAACAAGATGACATCGATCCATTTATCAAATTCATCAATTACGCAAGCTCCATGGGTGGGGTTTCGGTCGGGTTTTGGGTTTAAATGGGTGGGTGGGTGGGTCGCGACGGGAAAGAGGAAGGGAAGGGGATGGTCGCAGGCCGGCCGGGGAGTGGACCAGGAGGCCAGCCGAGGGTAGAGGTCCGGGCTGGGCTGGTGGCGGCAGTGGCTGAGTTGGTGTTTTATTTTTTTATTTTTAATTTTTTTTAAAGTTAGTTAATTAAATAAATAACATTAATAATCACCAATTACAAGCTGCCATGTGGCATAATTAACGTTAATGACTAACACCGTTAACGGAAATGACATGTTGTGACATTTACCAAAAATTTAGTGGTATTTGGTGTATTAGAAAGTTTCGTGTGGTATATGGTGAATTATGCATTAACTCAGTGGTATATGGTGAAAAATCCATTTTTAAATAGACAATTACCGCAATCTTCTTTTTGAGGAAAACGTGAGCCGGAATTAATATTGCATATCAAAGACATTTACCGCAGTCGGTAACATTTGTAGCTACTTAAATTAATTTTAAAAGCAATGTCGTTGGTAATAATTTTATCTTTTATTTTTAAAACAAAACTCTAGCCCACTAACTCCTTACTCCTCGGCCAAATTTCCTCCCTTCCTCCTTTCTCATTTCCTTTTATATCATTCTATGTCTTATTCTTCCTATTTCTCTCTCTACTTCTCTTTCTCGTTCCTCCTCTTCTCTTTCCAACTCATCCTTCTCTCGTTTTCACGGTGAACCGAGAAAACAAGCATCACATTTTATGGTGGACTTTGAGGTTTTTACGAGCAAATGATTGTGTAGCGTTTTTAAAAATGATTTCAAGTTTTTTTTGTGGCCAAATTCGACCATGAAAATTCCAGATTTATATCCCTAATTGACGATTAATGTCATAAAAGGAATGTTTTCTCTTGAAATTTTTATTTAATTTTTGATGTTTTCGTGGTGAAATTTGTCGTGAATTTTGTGAGGTTGGTTTTTGGGCAGTGGTGTAGTAACGATTGTTGGGTGGATGGTTTTGATTTTGGGGGTGGTGTGGTTTTTTTTTTTTTTTTTTTCCAAGTTTTTTTTGGTTCTTTTTCTTGGTTTGGGTGGTTGGTTTTTGTGGTGGTAATGGTGCAACAAAATGGTGGTTTGGGTGAGGATGCAACGGTGTAGGAGGATGCAGTTTTATTTTGTATTTTTTTGGTTGTTTCTTTTTCGGGTTTGGGTGGGTTGGTTTTAGTGGCAGTGGTGGTGTAGAAAAGTGATTGTACGAGAAGGGGTGCTACGTGGTGGGGGTGTAACGGGGTGAGGGAAGGTGCGAAGTGGCAGGTGGGTGATGCATAAGGGGGGAGGGGGTTGGGAAGGTTGTGTGATGGAAGATTATTAGGGGAGTGGTAAAGGATAAGAGATGGGGCAATGACTACTTGGGGGTGTAGCTCAAGTTGTTTTTTTCTTTTTTTTTGCTCTCGAGATTACTAACAGCCAGGCCGTCAATGTTTTTCGACGGCCATGCAAAACCATCACTAATTAAAGTACAGACGACCAAATCCGTTGGTAATATCATAATTTCGAACTAGTGGATTTCTGACCATTACCAATGGCTAGCCTTTGGAGACCAAACTACTGAAGATTTTAGGGTTATTACCGATGTTTTTAGCTATCGGTAATTAGATGTTTTCTCTTTTTTTTTTTTTTTTTTTTTTTTGAAGGACTAAGTGTTTTGTTTTAATGCAATAGCATTTTGTGAATTTTTAAAAACCCTTGGTGAAAAAACTATTAACAAATTTATGAGTATATTGCATAATGATATGGCTATCGAGATATAGAGAAAAAACCAAAAATTGAAGTAGATTATTTAAATCAATCAAAATGTAGTTTTTGAATGTATTTATATTATTTGACTTAGAAGAAAGTAAGAGGAAAACGTTATGAAACAATTTTCTAACTTTTGCAAGGCTAATTACTACAAATGGGAGATGTCAAGATTACTCAAGAAATACAAGGTGATTAATTTTACCCAAACCAATTCACGTCTTGCTAATAATGGCCTTTCGGGATCAATCCAAAGATTGCGATGTCGAGCTATGTTTGAGTCTCTTCAATACACCGATGAAATAAAATTCCTCGCAAACAAATTTATAAAGACTCTTCGAAGAAACAATAATCCTTATATTGCACTGCATCTAAGGTATGTCAGTTCCTTTTATCCATTTCTCGATGATTTTACTTGTTACTTTACCTCTTGGTTTATATTAAATCTTCATAAATATATCATTGAGCAAAATTTATATACATGCTGAACATATGATGATGTTTATTTAAAACATTGCACTAAAGATGTTAATGACAATAATATTGAAGATATCTAAGCTATTATTGAAAATGATAATAAAATTCTTAAAATTTCAAAATTAATATCATAATAAACATGGCATTAGAGAGGTTGGCTTTTTATTTATTTATTTATTTTTTATTTTTTATCTTGATTTTTTTTTGTTTTTGATTTATATTACATAGAACAATAAAGATATTACAAAATCTCTTCTCAAAAAAAAAAAAAAAAAGATATTACAAAATCTACCACTAAAGTTGTGTTATTACAATTGAAGTTAGGTATGAGAAAGACATGCTTGCTTTCACGGCTTGCACGCACAATTTGACTTCTAAGGAGGCTAGAGAGCTTACAAGTTTGAGGCGTCACACAACACATTGGAAAGAAAAACATATAAATGGCAAAAACATGAGACTGCAAGGAGCATGTCCAATGACTCCAAGGGAGGTTGCTATCTTCTTAGAATCTTTAGGATTTTCAAACAATACTATAATTTATATAGTAGCAGGTGAGATATATGGTCATAATGGACTTGAATCTTTACGAGCAAAGTATCCAAACTTGTATGATCACACGAGCTTATCCATTGAAGATGAAGTGACATCTTTTAAAGATCATAGTAATAAACTTGCTGCTATAGACTATATGGTTGCTGTTGAAAGTGACATATTCATTTATACTTATGATGGACATATGGCTAAGGCAGTGAAGGGTCATAGGATGTATGAAGGATTTCGGAAGACTATTAGCCCTGACATGTATGTCATTTCCACTTGCATATACATATATATATGAATTAATTATTGATAATTTTTTTTTGTTTTTTTTTGTAGAAAAAGGTTTGTGAAGCTTGTTGATCAATTGGATAGAAAATATATATCTTGGAAAGATTTATCTTCAGAAGTAAAGCGCATACAAAAACGAAGGATAGGCTCTCCTACATATAGAAGGGTTGGGTCTAACCCAAGAGAAGAAGAGAATTTCTATGCAAATCCGTATCCAGGATGTATATGTGAAAAGTCTAGATGATGTAAGATTCAAAAATTTTTAAGGAATCTAAATGGTTTTGAATTGTAATGAAAATACAATTAATTCTACTTACTAAGTGTTTATTGATTCGATGCATTCTTTTCAAGGATAAAAAATGGGATCATGAATAAATAAATAATTTTCAGGTTTTATAGAAACTATATTACATCTTTAGTTTTTGAGAAACATAGAGCGTAATATGAATGTGTTGGTTGACATCTACTTTTGGTCTCTTGTCTTGAAACGAAAGTGTAATGTTGAGACAAAAACTCGTTTTTCAAGCCAGATCAAAGTTAGAATGTTTATGGACTCTACAAAGTGTAATGTAAGGTGATCCGAACCCACGTTTGAGACCAAACCTTTTTAAAACCTGACTTTTAGCCATATATTGGAATCTAAAAAATATTTATCCTAATTCTAATTGTTTTGAGGTTTCTGATAATATATTATGGAAGTTTTTAATACAACAATTTTGAACACCCCGAAAAAAGGTAAATGGCGCGCACAACTCCTAAAGTTTCGTTTGTCAGCCATCGCAACTTTGAAAGTTACACTAAAGAGGCCAACACAACTTGCAATTTTGCACTTGACACCTGATGCAGTGCCTATTATAATCTAACTATAGATTCGTACACCTATAGATAGGGGTATTGGTTCATTAGACCTAAAATTAGAAAATCAGCCATGAAACTATGAGAAAAATACCCTAATCCTCTTATTCTTATCTACATTTCTCTTATTTTCCCAAAAAATTTCTATCCCTAATCAATACTTTGAAGTCGTTAGAGATTACGGAGTTAGAGGACGTCCATAAACACACAAAACAGAGGTCTATCAAAGAAAAGTGGTATGTTCCCTGAGCGCTTTGATCACCCGTTTGCATCTTCTTTTTATTTAGTGTTATTTGATTATATAAAATAAAAGATAAGTAATTTATTTTCAACCTAGATTCTTGCATTAATAAGAATTGAATTTGGATTAGTTAATTCCTTTATCACCTAAGAGGTCAAATGAATCCTATTTATTTTATTGTCTTTTTCAGAAATTAATTAAATGTGAATAACGACATTTGTGGCAATGTAGATATTTGTAGAACTTCTTTGTACATAAAATGAACTAACTTAGTAATTAGGATATTGCATTGCACACATTTACTATCTTTGGTACAGGCCACAATAGAGCTAGGATGATCGCTTTGAAAGAACCATCTCTAGTTATTATAACAGACCTTTTGTGGGCAATCCTTCCTTAAGGGTTAGGGGGAAATCCCATGCTTCATATTAAAACACCTTTGCACACTACTTCGGGGAGGTACGAATGGGGTTTGTTAGTTTTCCTAAAACACATTGGCAACTCTGTACTTAGTACAATTAAAAAAGGGTGACAACTTGTCATCTCACTTTTCTATGTCTCCCAAACATTCAGGGTTTCAAATCTTCACCAAAATAAGTCGGGGACTTTAAAGGGCCTGGACATTGAGGGTGAGACCCTACGGGGCACCCTCCTCACAGTCATGTTAAAAGTCAAAATTGTATTTGTAGGCGTCAATCGAAGCGCGCCTACCTAAGCATGTGGTGAATATGCTTGGAAATTATAGGAAGTGGGATTTGACATTATACGATTAGTGACAAGGAAGTAGTGAGCCGCCAACAAGTCTTTAAAGGAACTTGTAAACCGTTCACGGGTCATTAAAGGCAACCACGATAAGGGACAAACAAAAGGCAACAACGATTGACGCGTGAAGGTTACACCCCATTTATAATCCATGAGTTTACTAACTCCATATGGTTACGAACCACGAATGAAGGATTGGGGATGATGGTACGAAGTGAGTAATGGAAGTCAACTTCGCCCGTATTGGTCTCTACTCGATTCTTATAGTGAAAAGTATTTCCCGCGATCTCAAAGGCATACAAACAAAGATTCAATTTGCTTTAAACTAAATTACGCAAAATTGGTTGAATATTAATACACACATAATTCTAAATATTTATGATCACTTCGATTAACAAGAAGAATAAAGGAACCTAAACTGATTAGGGGATTTTTCCCCGCCACGTGGACCAATTATATCCTGCCACGTGTCATCCACGTAGACCAAATGAGAGTCCGCCACGTGTCACCTCGTGAGAGATCCAAGGTGGACCAATCAGGTCACGACACGTGGCAGGAAGAATTGCCAACCGAGCAAGTGGCCTCAAACGGCCCAAAGTTCTAGGCAAAGCCCAATCAGCCCTAGGTTTACTGAAACCTAGTATTGGGCACGTTTTCTAACACCCTATAAAAGGGAGATGTTTCCCTCTGAGGAACATCCATTTAAAAATATTCAATACACATTAACTCTCCACCAGAGACAGTCAGACACCTGACACCTCGAACTGAGCAATTACACATTGTAGATTCTCTCTTGGAATTAGAGAGAGACCCTTTACTGTCCGCACTTTACTCCTCATACACGTTCTAACTTGATCGTCGGAGGCGGAGCTCCCACCCACCGGAGTCTCCGTTGTTTTATAAGTACAGGCGTCCAGAAGTCAGTCTTGGAATTGTAACTCTCCCAAAGGACATAAAAAAACCCCGAAACATTTGGCGCCGTCTGTGGGGAAAGTACTTCAAAGATGACTTCACAAGAACCTGTACCACCTCTTAATGAGAAACGGCCTACGACCGACGTCTAGGTCTTCTCAGACCAAGATACGGATGACGACTATGAAGTCGCCACCCATACGGCCCCTGACGGGTCCCTCAGGACACGCCGCATCCGCCCCGCCGAAAGGAGGGAGCGGAACACTGACCAGGCAGGCCCTAGTGAAACAGTCGGCCAGCCGATAGGTCAACCTCAGGCGGCCGAAGGATCCACCCCCATCACTAGATTTGAGCTCATGACCCTCATGACTAGTTTCAAAGGGGAGATAAAGGATCTTATTGATAAGCGGACGACTAACCCTACTAAGGAACAGTCGCCCAAGAAGCCCTCTTATTCTGGGAGGAAAAAGCCGGTCAAAGACCGAGAGGCCACTCCTTACCCTAAACCAAGGGAGGGACGGAAGCCTTTGATATATCTGGCTGGACTACGGTTCCCTGAGCCAGGGCAGAGGAAGGCCATCCGGCATATACAACCGGATGGTTCCAAGAAAACATATTTCGATGCTCAGATGATAATCCAGCAAAAGAAGAATATGAAACTGTCAGAGTCGGCCTCCACGTCGAACTTCAATGACAATTTTCAAAATGCCTCGCTGAGGTAATCTCAATCAAACCAAGAAGACCAGACAGGCGGCCTGTCCGCCCATTCTAGTCCTCAGATGTTCCAGGCGGTCCCGTATGTGCCTCAATAGCCATACATGCTGTACGGACCACCTTATATGCAACCTACCCTCTTCGGTGTAGGGTTTCGTAGTGACCCGACACTACGCGGAAGGAAACCCACCAAGACCCGCCCCTTAATTAAAACAATTAACAAGCATATTAAACTTAATCAAACAAGATTAAGAACAAGAATTATACCTTTGACGCATGCTTCGCTCCTAAAGTGCTCTTACTTCAAAATCCCGAAAACACGAGATCTCCGACGGATCGTACCCTCGACCCAACCCGAGCGTCCTAAGTCTTGAAGGTTAGTTAAGACCCGGACAAAATAACTATGAGTTTTACGAATCAAAGGTTTACTCTTTCTTAGAGTTGCCTTTTTAATTTCACTCAAGGTTGTATCTCCAATATCCCAACCAAGTGGGTATTTATAGAGAATGGGGACTTGAAACCCCTTTTCATGAACAACGTGGGATCATGTACAATTGTAATAATTTATTTAATTCCAAAATAAATAATTAGGCAAAAGCAATCACAAGGCAACAAGTGGCAAGAGGAGAGAATGGGTTAGGTGAGGACCACATCCCATGGGGGGGACCATTGCCTTGCTCCCCAAGGGAAGCTTAGAGGCTTTGGTCCCCACCTCTCCTAAACCGCCACTCACAAGGCAGCTGGGCTGGCTGCCACCTGATACTGCCAGCATGCCCAGCCAGCTAGCACCAGGCTGCCTAGCAGCTCCCTCGCATGCATGGTGCTGGTGCGTGCTGGCGCTGGTGCTGGCCCTCGCATCCCACACACCACACGCATCATCGCTGCACCCTTCGCACATGCTCGTACACCCAATCAACTAGCACCACTCGCCCATGCTCGCACAGCTACGCGCATCCAGGCCAGCACGCACTAGCGCTGTGCTTGGTGCGTGGCCTACGATGGCGCCTAGCACACACGCAAGGCCAATGCCGCTTGCCTGCTAGTTGTGCTTGGTGAGTGGCCTGCGATGGTGCCTAGCACACACGCAAGGCCAGTGCTGCCTGCCAGCTAGCTGTGCTTGGTGCGTGGCCTGCGATGGTGCCTAGCACACACGAAAGGCCAGTGCTGCCTGCCAGCTTGCTGTGCTATGGTGCACACGCACACGTACACACGCATGTGCCTAGCACTGCCATGGTGCTGTGCGTGGTGCTAGGGGGCTGCGATAGTGCCCACGCTTATGCACACACACATGGGTGCTGTGCTTGGTGCGATAGAGCTGCGATGGTGCCTAGCATCATGCTAGGGCTGCGATAGCGCCTAGGTATAATGCTAGGGCTGCGATAGTGCCTAGCACACCATGGTGCGCCTATCACACACATGGTGCGCCTAGGCTTGCGATGAGCTAGCCTAGCCTAGTTACGGCTACGCTCATACTTGTTGCTTGTGATTTTGCGACGCTCGGTCTTGACGCCCTAGGCTCGATATGCGACGTTTGTATTCGTAAAACTCTACTGACTCATTAAATCCTTTCGGATTAATTCGTCGTCTCGGATCAGTGATTCGATTGGGTTCGACCCGAAAGGGTTCAGTTAAGATTAAGCTGTAACATCAATTGTACATTGATATTACTAATCGGAAGCGGCCTCCACCTAGGCATTCCGATCACTTGACCTTACAGAAGAATTAGCTCCGTAATAATTCTGAACCCTCTATCGGAAGAATACACTTGTTGGAAGGACATCACTCCTTTCAATCTCCCACTTGTCCTTCCGGACAAGTGTGCATACAGTGTATAGCTCATTTCCTATGTCACTTAAGCTTTTTTCGATCTCCGAGTTCGACTGTCAATAAGCCGATGATTTCTAAAATCCATA